ACTTTGGCCAGTGTGCTGTGGAAGAGCTAAGTTGCGCTACTCAGGGATCACTTTGGCCAGTGTGCTGTGGAAGAGCTAAGTTGCGCTACTCAGGGGTCACTTTGGCCAGTGTGCTGTGGAAGAGCTAAGTTGGGCTACCGGGCGTACTGAAGTCCAAAGTTCTAAAAATCTAACAACCTCACAGTCCTACGGGTGGGGAAAAACAAAGTTTCTCGGGTCCTCCACGCAAATGAATGTCCCAGAATACTTCAGGATTGGCATGGCTCCAATTGTCCAAAGCAAGCTCCAAGCTCACACGTTGGGTGCGGGGAACCTAAGAAACTCCAATCAACGTCCTGACTTGAGCAAATTCAGGGCGCCGATGAACCACAAAAGGCAGTACGCCAATGCATGCTGTATACCATATTCTCGATCTTGTGGGCGGATCATCTCAATGGTCCACTTGCATTGAAGTGAACCTGTGAACAGTCTAGCAAAAACAACACTCGGACTCCGTCTGCCACTGTGCCATTGTGATCAATGGGGATCAATGGGTGCACTACGACAGTCCGCCAATGCAACCAACAGGCGCATGTGTGTCTTCTTACGTCCAATTGAATTCCTTGTCATTGCTGAAGCAAGACTTCCATAACATGGAGGTGCGTGGAATAGCGGTGAAACCTGTGCGCTGTACAAAGCTAAGACCAAATTCTGGCAGCTGCAAGCTGAAGCAATCCTGGGTACCATTAAAAAACGGACCCCTATTCAAAAAATAACATGTCGGAAACCCCTAAGGCGGCTTATACTTGCTTTTTGAGTTACCGCCCTTTACAACCGCTACATAACTACCAACATGGCCGATTTTGGTATAGCTTTAAACAAATATTAGGTTCCAAAAACAACCCGAACTGCCCACCTCTGTCCACCCTGTCTATCCACCATGACACGCCGCATTTACACCAGCAGGTTTTCCTTCCCCAAATGGCACGGACTCACCTTTCGAAAGCCTTAGTTGGTCCATTGAAGAATCAGAATCACTGTCTTAATAAAGGTTTTTGTAAGGGGAAAAGGAAGACCCTGCGATCTGCAGGTGTTTTTTTCAATTTTTGATATGAGTTTATATAATGATAAAGGATTATCTAAGGTCTAACATTTTCCTGGGTGACTTTTTGGTTAATCAATGATTCAAGCACCCTCCCACTGACCCTCTTTTGGACAACCCCGATTTCAGGGACCCCCTATTTAAAAAAAGTGCACCCGAGTTTTTGTTAATAGGGGGGCCCGTGTTTTTCAATAGGTGGAAGGGATTACACCTTCAGGTGTCATCCTTTACTCATGCAACTTAGGGAGCTACATACCTTCTGAGGAGGTAGGGCTGGGATGGATTGGGGGTGAGAACTAATTCGGTCAGAAAACGGTTCAGTCCCTACTTTAGGATGGGCTGTTGGATTGAAGTGCGAAATTGATCTAACTCCCGTCCCCTACAAAAAGGATCATGCAAAACGCCCCCTGGGCCCTGGACAAACATATATATATATATTGTGATGTATCACATCTGGTTTTTGCCAGCTGCCCCAAGGAAAGCAAGTCTGTCAGCCACAACATGCCGAGTAGTGCAACTCGGGGATGGGCTGCTCAGGTTGATGCAGTCAGCTACCAAGCTTGCCAAGTCCAATCTTTTGACCTGTACATGTCCAAACCAAAACTTCTCCCACCGCAGATCGACTCGCAACACGCAACAGCACTCAACCCATGACATGTTCCCAGAGGATTCACTTCGCTTCTTATGATTCTTATGTACGAGTAGCTCCCTCTTGAAATCTTATTTGGTCAATCTGGCGGAGGGTGGTGAAACTGCGAATGCCTGGGTCCGAGCGCATGGGGCATTTTCAAAAATGGGAGCATCATTTGTCCGCCGATTTCTGAGTGTCTGATGTTGCATTCTTCTGTTGCAGTGGTTTATGTCCAATTCGCCCAGGCACTCACAGGGGCAAAGCCACATGCAGAAAGGCTAAGATCAAACAAAAACAAACGTTGAGTTTCATGATGCATGTGGGTGTGGCTGACCAATCATGTAGACTGTTCATTGTAGACTGATAAATGAACCCTAGTTTTTACAATTGGATGATTTCATATTGGTGTTATTCATCTCATTCATGAGCGCCTACACTTGAATCGCACCCTGTCAAAGTCCTTAGTGTAGACTCTTGACTCTTGATTCATCAACCCCCCCCACTTGGATTGAAACATCTCTTCATCTGGGCAGCTCTTGTAGTCAAGAGTCTACATTACAGGGGCTCAAGGCCATCAAACACCTCATCCTTAGCTGCGCACCTACCGAAAGGAGGCAACCTCTCGACGAGGGGCTCCGAGCGATCTCCCTGGCGCGGAGCTGGAGCGATGACCTGAGCCATCAAATCTCGACAGCAAAGTTGACCCCACCAGCATCCTCCAGCTGCAAGGGAAACGTCAAACTTCGTCTCGGGGCGAAGAAAACTCGCGGCTTTTCGTTGTGGAATCACGCCCCAAACTGAATAACAGCCACCCACGACACAAAGCATCCTCTGTCAGGTAGTGGGAACAGCTTGGAGGAAAGGGATAGAACCTAATTAATTAGTGGCCAACCATGGAGGTCCCAGGTCAAACTTGCATAGCCTCAACAGATTGGAAACTCCATGCATTCGATCTCCCTATTAGCTTTAAACAATTATGGGTGTCGAGATGTGCCAAGCTATGCAGGTAAAGTTACACGTACGAAGAGAGAGGGAGAGAGAAAGATAGAGAAAGGGTGAGAGAGACAAAGAGAGAGGCATGATGTAAGTGGTCGGTGAGTATATAACATTATACAACACGCTTAACACGTCCCGCACACGCAACCTTCTCACTCTTGACGAGCTCAGGAGAGTTCCTCTGAGAGAGGTCTGGAGTCGTTTTGGATCAGGTGATTCGTTTCTGTGCAGGACTCCTTCGCAAGTTTAATGCCCCCAAATTGGCCCCGAACCGGTCGTTTCCACGCCTGTGTGGCTCAGCTCTGGCAAACGTGAAGAGACGCGACCTGACTACGTTGGCCGATTTGGCATCTGGACCTGGCCATTTCGGGCGACCTTGTTGAGAGCTAGGCGTGTCTTTTAAACATGCATGTTTAAACATGTGCCCAGCTTCACTGTCCTGACTCAAGGAGAGATCAGGAGAACCGGCATGCCATTCAGAGAGGCTTCCGCCCCTGGGGCTGCCCAGCTTCAAGCTCTCATGAGTTGCGCCCACCTCACGAACGTCTCCCACCTGGGTGTTGGTGCCTCATCTCGCTTCGAAAGGAGCGCTCCTCTGGGCGCAACCGCCGGGACTTGTGACATTGCGCGTCTAGAAGCAATGGCCTCCAACCTACTAGCGATGGATGGCCTCCAAAAACAACTAAAGCTTTGATGAATCTGCTGGCTTTAGGGCTGAGTTGTCTCACCCGAGGTTCTGTATATTATGGGTGCGTAATCCTTCTGTCCTGGACAGCCCATTGAGTACCCTCCTAATACCCACTGAGCTAATGTTCTTGTATCTGTTTATCTGTGGTGCTTCGTTACCACATCATAGACTGGCGGTCTTTCTGACCAAGTTCGGATACTGTGGGTGCCTGATGGACAGCACTCTGCAAATGATTATAACTCTTGAACGTGGTCGGGACTCATGCAACTACCACACCGCCAGCTTGCGAAAGAAAAGCCCTCGCCTTCCAAGATCCGGGGACATATGCAGGGAGCATTGCCATCATCGTCACATGGTGACACCTCAAGCAGCTCAAGCACCCACCCGCTACAGAAACATCGTAGACAAAAAAAAATGAGAACAACCGTTGAACATGTAACCGTAACCCAACATAAACCCGACCAACAACTGCCTTCCACTGGCCAAACCGCACTTGCGAAACAACTTCTAGTATCATCTGCAGTCGCATGAAATTTGTGGCGATGTGGACCACTTCAGTGACCCGTCCCGTTCCTCCGTGGATTTGATGTGTCCCAGATTGCCCATCAAACAGGAGCCTGACCGGACCTCTTCTTGAGGTCTGGGAGAACTAGTTGAAACATGTTACATCGCAACAACTTGAGACTTCAACATACCTGTCCAGCAGCTGGATACCGCTGGCATCTACACACAAATATATATATATATACACACATATATATATAGCACACCTATAAATATTCTATATTTATATGATATATTTAATAAATAAAAAAATAAACAAACACAGTTTCCTGTGTTTCAATTTTTTGGATCTTTTTCGGGGCTGTTGCCCTGATCCTCTCCCAGCACTCCGAGTCCTGCCCAGGGAGCGGGGGAAAGCGATGCTCTTCTCGCCCCGCCAGGCCAGTGGGCCTCCGGCCTCGCATAGACTAAGCCGACAAGGGGAATCAGTCCAGTATGTTTGCAACAAACTGCCACATCTGCCCCAGCGTTTGTTCCCAAGTTTGTTGCGACTTTCTAGCTTCAAATTGTGAATGCGAGGTCCGACATGCGACCCAACATATTGCAAGGAATAGAGGGGTTGGCTAAAAGGACGCTCAAGACTGGCACAGCTAGGAAAATCAGTCCCAAGCTCCAACAATGTCTTTATAGAACAACGCACGGCATGAGCATGCAAACCAAACTAATTACAGTAGGTGCATTTGCGTATTGAGATGCTAATCATCCGAGGTAAACCACAACGTCCACAAATCCACAAACAAGACATAGAATCCATAGTGCCGCAGAACTCTTAGGGAGTCAGTGTGCCGATACTGCGTGTTTTTATTTTTTCTCTCTCTCTCTCTCTCTATGTTGGTGCTCTTGAAATTTCAGGGCAGTGTACGATGCTTGCTGCCCATACCAAGCACACAGATCTGCCACGCCTTTGGGCAGCTCCGGCAACGTCCAGTGTAGGCCCTGCAGCAGGACAAATTTCCCTCCAACCAAGCTTCTGCTTTCCCCACATGCCCATGACCAGCCAGAGAAAATCCCACCACTTCGTCTGACTTTCTCTTGAACAACAACCACCCGCAGCTGCATCCCACAGAACAACAACCACCCGTAGCTGCATCCCACAGAACAGTGCAAAGAGCAGTTGTAAAGCGAATTCTTTCGGGTTGAGTGTAAGATTATTTCGTTTCAGAAGCGTGGCAAACGATGTTCATGGATTCAAAGTACCAAAAGGGGCGCCGTTCGGGAAGGAGGCATGGGGGATCATGGTGGATAGAGACTGTGCGAACCGCGAGCCTAGCTTTACAATATTATGTACAGTATATACAGTATACATAGCTTATATATATATATACTGATATATATATATAAATAATGAGGGTTGCTCTTTTTGAGTGCTGTAGCAAGATGTGTGCGGCGGCATTTATTTGGTACTAAACTCAAATACACGATCTATTATGTGGGGGCCCTATCTCGTTTAGACTACTCAAGCAGGAGGTCATGTGACAGTATCTCTTTCACACTACTTTAGTAGCAAATCACACCATCTCGTTCAGACTACTTTAGTGTCATCAAACAAAAGTATCTCATTTATGTGGAGGCCCTATCTCGTTCACAAGCGAATACTGATGACGATAAACAAGCAAATAGAGCATGCCGTAATGCCGTAGACTACTTTAGTAAAACCTAAATAAAAGTGGTTGCTCATGTAGAAGTCAAGCTCCCAATGAGCACCATGCAAGCCAACATCACCCCCGACATTCGCCCACGGAACCATTCCAGGGTTGATTCATGAGGGGTCAGGGATGATTGGTCTTCCATTCGCTTCTGGACAATGTCTGCCCGCTTCGGGTGTCCGACACGTCCAACGGAGATATTGAAGCAAGCATTGCAGGTCGACCTCCTAGCAGTTCATCTCTACAAACAACTGCCCTCCTGATGCGTGCACCTCACACTCCTTGGGCTTGCGATGCACGCTCCCAGGCAGCTCCAGGCACGGTCTCTGGGTGGGGCGGTCTTTCGCGCTCTCGATGTGTGGCGAACGAAACTTGCGTGTAACTCAAGCCTCTTGGCGTCTGAATGCGGCCACCCCCCCAAAAGAAAACAAGGTGAAAGATGGTAGGAGGTGCTGCTTGCCCATGTTCGGGCTGTGAGATGCTGTGAGGTTTAAACGTTGGTATGTTCGCGGAGTGTCCCTCACCAGGGAGTTGCCTAGTGGCTGCTTTCAGTGGTGGTGGGGAGAGTGAGAGAGAGAGAGAGAGACAAACACAAAACACACAGAACACAAAGAACATATTGGAAGTGGTTGCAGGCTTTCACGAGAAACCACTGATTTTCGGAGTGTTTGTCTTGAGCACTGTGGCTGTCAAAAGGCCTGGAGCCATTTTCGAGGATTTTCCATTGACCGCAAGAATCATACGTAGGAGAACCGCTGCTTTGGCTTTCATGTACTTGTTGAGTCATACAAAGTTCTACACGTGGCCGTGGGACAACACCCCGCACACCGAACGAGCACCAAAATGGCCCGACGGTCCATGTTTGCAAACGCGCTTGGACCCATCTGAACTTGAACCCGTGTGCGCGGAGTACAGCAATGTTCGATGGAGGCAGAAACGGAGAGGAGGAGGCCCATCAAGTTTTGTCTATCAAGCCTGTAGTGGCCCAACAATACGGAAAGAACATGAAACCTCTCCAATTCTGTGAAAGCTGCCCATGCGTCTATCAGGGAGCTTGGGTGGGCTTAGGCCTTACCACACAAGTTGGATGGCACACTGCCCGCCTGACCAAGCGCTTCTTCTCTTCAAAGTGTTGATGCTCTCCTGAGCTGTGTCCACGAGCAGAAAGAGCCAGCACCTTGTTCCCTATCTTGGACATGTCGAACGCAGTTTTCGACGGATACACTCAGATTCAAGTGTTTGATAATGTGTGTGATCGTCTTGATGTGGCGAGCTTTTCCAAAAAGGACTTGGATAGTCTCTCAATCCTTTATCAGGTTTTAAGCTTGGCTCCATATAGCAAAACATGACCCATTTAACAGTCAGAATCACAACTCTCCATTTCCTCGCTCGCGGCCCTTCCTTCAAAAGAAAACCTCTCTGCCACTGCCGTGTTCAGTTCCTCAGTTCCTCAGTTCCGTCCATGTCAGTATCTTCAAATGTATGTTCTGGGGCAGCTTTTCTTGTTAACCCAGCTTGCCCTCGCCTGGCGGTTCGAACGTGTCCGTCGCAAAAGATCGGTCCAGGAGTGGACTTCGGTCTAGGGGTAGGTGCCCTCGCGCTTAGAGGACCCGTCAGCCATAGTGAGTTGACAACTCAGCCCACACATATGGAACTCTTGGTCAATATCTTGCGCCTCCTAGCCAACCTCCCAAATTCCAACCACTTTTCAAAGCACACGTCCTTTTGGAACTCTTTCGGGACCGGGGATGGAGGGGGTGATGGTTTCAACTGCAACCAAGCTGCCTCGGGGCCTCCCTTGACCACCACATCCAGGCGCTGCACGCTCACACTCCAGCGGGGTCGCTTTGGGGACGCCACTGGGCCCAACGCTTCAGAGCGCTGTCCTGAGGTCTGGACCTACCACTCGAGCGTCGAACAAAACCGGATGGACCCCTTACAAACGATATTCAGCCAGTAAACGGCTCTTGTTGTTGTTGTTGTTGGTGGTGGTGGTGGTGGTGGTGATTGGTTGGAGTATATACAGTTATAGATAGTTATAGAGGCATCTGACCTTCACGTGAAAGGTAGGCTCAGAAGGTCCATGTCCCATGTCTGCAGCTGTCTTTCGGGCTTCAGCCCAGTTCTCCAACCATATCCGACCATCATGGATGGCCCCAACTTAGATTTGCTGACTTGTCTCTACCCAAGGAACTGTTTGCCACTTCCACTCACACCAGCTCTTCAAAACCATCCAAACATGCAGGGGGGGTCTGGGGGGTGTTCCTCCACCCATGTGGAACGAAAGCGTTGAGCCTTCCGTTCCTTTGATCTTGAAAAGGGCACCGCGTGGTGTTGAAGCTCGTTGGATTGGATGGGGCACATGCACAGTGAACATTATTGAACTGAAACCCATCTATTTATTTTCTGCCCATGCAAATTTGTTTGAATGTGTGTACCCTGGAAGCGTGCCTTGTGCGCACAAGGAAAAAGTTCCAGCAAACAGCGAGCAAAACAAATACAAGCATCCAGCTCCTAACCTCAAAGGCAAAAAAGGACGGGACATTGTTTTGAACAAAGTTCAAGCGTCCGTGATCGTGCTGCTGCTGTGCTGCTACAGCATCTCGAGGTTTTTCCAGAAGCTCTAGATCATCCTCTTCCTGACAAGCCGGAGGGGGAAATGAAGTCAGAAACTCTAACGCCTTGACCATGGTGGCCCAACCACAGGGTCACGTACCCCCCCCAAAATGGTGGGGAGATGTTCTATCTGCTTGGATGCCTATGGATCCCTTTGCCAAGCGCATGCATCTGCATGCAATGCAAATAAACCAATACAGGCCTCACATCTCGGAGAAAACTATATAAACCTCTTGATTCTGCTGGAGCCAAGGCACATAGAAGAAGTCCTCAGTACCTTACGCAGAAATGATGCAACGCCATTGTCAGATTACACACCGGCCTTTAGTTTTGCTCTGGAAGGAGCCAAACCCATCCAAGACCTAGTTTTGAGCATTTGACCCCTTCCACTCCAGGACGACCTGAAACAATTCAAGAAACACTGTGGGAGCTCAGTCAATAAGGTGCAAACCAAACAAATGGGGCATGATGGGGCTGTGGCTGGGACCCGCAAGCCTCTATACTAGAGTCGCCTCATCTATTAATATATATACAGGGTTCACCACCTCCCTCTCCAGCCAAGAAGAACTGATTTGTAGGTGGCCTACCTGGCGTCAGTTCTCCGCCTCCCTGTGGAAACGAGGCTGAAAGCTGGCCAGGATGCAGGACAAGGTGACTGGCATGTGGATTAGTATCTCATCAATCAGGAAGAACTGTAGTTCTTGTCCATCGATGGCCTGGATGCGCATCAGTGCCCCAAACCCCAGCAAATCCCAGCACCATAGGAGCTGTCCCAGCAACTGCCACCGATTCGCAAACAAGCTGCTGCTTGTGACTTGTGAACAAAAAGAGACGACAACCTGCAACCTGCAAGTTTCCGAGTGTCCAGTGCTGAGAGGAAAAGACACAAGATTGAGGCCTCAATGCCTTCGATCGCCTCACCTGGAGCCGCTGCGAAAAAACGCGTATTCCGACGCAGGTTCCGACGGGCCAGGTGGGGAAACCATTCAGCCAAGTTGGGCCAAGGCGGGCGCCATCTATGCAAACATGCAAAAACACCAAGCAAATCCTGCTGTCTTCCTGAATGCTTTCCCGCTTCACTGAACACACGAATTCCACACCCACCTGGCTCCAGGGCTTCCATCGGGAAGTCCACCGGCGTTCGAGTGCGTCTTCCCTTCCGAGGGTGGGCGGGCGTGAAAAGAAAAGGCCGCCTGTTGTTTTTTGCTTTGCAGGGTGCTGCGAGGTTGGCATATGCCAGAATAACAGTGCTTTCTGACATATACAGTAAATAGCCCAGAGGCCCGGTGCCATTGTAAACTGCAGACCATCAATTGTCAGTTGTCTATCCCTTTTGCACTGCAAGCGAGCTCTGCCCTTAAGTCAAAAGTCCAGTCCGGCCCGGCGGTTCGCCTGGTTTGGACACCGTGTCACTCATCAGGTTGGATACAAAGGATATGGTACAACTTGGCCTGCTACATGGTCCAGCACATTTCTGGGCACAAATAAAATAAGCATATCATATATATATATATATATCCGCCGACCCCGGCCTATAGCCAAAGCCTAGGCGGGGAGG